AATGTAATTGAATTTATAATTTACATTCTTAATGTGTGTCAATATTTAAAATTCTAGATATTTCGATTTTTATTTCTAGTAATTTCCTGTAATTTTCTAGTAATAAAATTTAAAAGGAAAAAAGTTTTCTTGACGAAGAAAAAAAATTGATACAGTTTAAAGAAAAGGAAAGAAATAAATATTTATAATAATAAATAAAAATATCTTACAAGTCCATCAATCAGGAAACTAGAAATCTAGATGCTTTATGGGAAAGTGCTAATTTTCAATGATCGGTGAACGGTTGATCCACGAACGAAGGAGAAAGCAAAAAGCAGAAGATTCTTCGCGTAAGCAAAACCATTCAAGCCACCTTTAATTAAATCATAAAGTATTTTCCTCTAATGACCACTATAATTTCTCGAAATTCCTCATTTCGCGCGATTAAATGTCTAATTATCTTTCGACAAAGATCAAGAGGTTGTTACCGGTTTCGGTCGAGATTGATTCAATTCGATAACCAATCGCTGCTATACTTGGGGCCATGAAGACTGACCAACTTCATGTTGCAATTCTATCCTCGCAATTAACGGAATTGAAATTAACCGTTCGATGAAAACACCTATGGCGAAGATGTAAGATTATGATAGAGGTTATGTTTTATTTTTTCGAATTTCAATAAATATTCGTTATTGAATCGATAAAAATTGTTTGTTATATCGTAATGTATGATTTGCGATGTATGTAATAATTAAGCACTTATTATTGTTATTTGCATGAAATGAGAATATATTATATTTGAATTTTATGATTTTAAAAAATATTGTTATTTACGTATTATGTTTTATTAATTTTATGATTTTAGAAAAATTAAATTTTATAGGAATTGAAGAGAATTAGTTAAAAAATTCTGAAAAATTTGTTTATTTGTTACGTGAACGTGACGAGAAAGAGATAGAAAGAAATATTATTATTATAATTACTTATTTAATGAAGAAAGAATTGAAGATTAAGAAAGAGGACTAATTGAGTGGCAAAGAAAAAGAAAATAAAGACATTCATATATTAATTAGTAAAGATATTGTATTTCAATTATTATGGAATACATTATCTTTAAAAAATAATATGTAATAATAAAGAATGATGAAATCTTAAAACATTGATATATTCAATTGCAATGGCTTTCTTTTATTTTTAGAGGAAGTGTATTATGTTCCTTGAGAAAAAAAAGATATTCGTTCTAAGTTGATGTGAAATTGAAATAATGAAATGTGTAATTTAATTCTTCTATATTGTATATTAAAGTTCTTATAAATACACGGTGGAAGAATAAGTGTTTAGATCGTAATGAAGTCTGAAGATAGAAACAGCAGATTGAAATTTTTACTTCCTATTTTTATAAGAAGAAGAAGAAATACAATTAGATTGCACGATTAAACACAGGATTAAGGTAATAAAATGAAATTATTGTATAATTAATTATTGTATAAAATATATTAATATTATTATAACGAATTGATTTTGATAATTAAATTGCTATTTATCATATCAGTATTGATTATCATTAATTTTAAATTTAACTTGTGGGAACATTTTTATTTATTTCAGGAATCAATTAAAATTCGAAGAAACACTATAAAATACTTACAATAGAACTTCATTTATTGAAACGAAATTTTTATCGATATAACTAAGTGAAACTCATACAAATTTCCTATCTTATTTTTATTAAACTTTTCCAGGAAACGTGACAAGTAGAAAAGAATTTTTCATATATCCAGCTTTCTCTTTGAATAAAAATTCGATTTTACAAATTGTCATTAATATTTTGGATTTCGTTACGTTTTACAATTTTTTCTATCAAATTATTATCTATCATTGGATACTTTTTTTTAATTTTTTGTGCGGTATTGGATGTAAATAAGAAATGAAGGGAGAATGAGATTCTTCTTTCTCCGTAATACCGTATATTCTATTTTTATCTTGCTTCATCTAGGTTAAACTCAACAAAAGTAAATTCAACAAATCTCAATCGAAATTTTTCTATACCAACTTTCACGGTTTTTTTGACCTCCACGATTAATCCTTCAAAGATACCGTATTAAATACATTAACATTTTGTATAATCCAAAAGATAAGATGATTAAATATCCATTTATTCGAACAAAAACTTCAGTTATTTGAAGAAAAATTTAAAAATAGTGAATTCTTACTATACGAACCTATCATATAAATTGCTCATTCTTTGTCGGCTTTTACATATATAAATAGAATTCTATTGTAATTTATAATCTACTTCGTGTCTTAAGAAAAATAAATAAATTTCAGAGAGATGACAAAAATATTACGTATTCGAGGCACGATACAAAACGAGTACAAAAACAGGCAATTTACAAGAAAGAAAGCGAAGAGACGTTGATCCTTGTTTCGATCCATCTCCCGTTTTATTTCTTTTTGTAACGATGGGAGCGGCAACTTTCTAGATGACCGACGGCAACCTCGAGGGCCCTCGATTGCGCCTCGGAAGATCATTGATCTTGGCCAAGAATCTTGCCGACCTCTTAATCACCGCCATCGTTAATCTGATTTTCGACGTGTCGTTAAAAAGAAGTGTTAATGGCATGTCGCTTTTTTTCTATCTTTTTACCTTATTTTTATCTCCGGTCCCAAAATCTTTTTATTCTTTGGATTCTCTTTGAAGATTTTATGACAAATGCGCATCATTCGCATTGAAATAAAATTGGAACGTTGTGAAAAATTTTAAGTATTAACATAAAATTAATCAATTCCTCTTTGATTGAAATTTCTAATGCATTTTCCATCAAATCATTTGTAATAGTTTCAGTTTCACGTGTTCGTTCAATGGAAATAAAACGGATCGAAAACGAGCTCCGACTAGCATTGCTCTCGATCGGTATTGTCATATCGAACAATATCGACAGAGATACACATTGCATGTGTCTTACGTTTCTATGCCTTATAATGTCTTCATCACGATTCAATGTTACGTTAGTTGATAGCTAATAGCTAATAGCTTACTACTTATAACCCGATTGCTAGAGAGACTCGCTTTGTAAATCGAAACTCTTTATAACTTCGTGGTAATCGTTTTAGAATGGAAGCAGATCATTTAAATACAAGAGTCTCTGTTGAATCGATTGATCGAGACTAACGAGTTTAATTTAAGAGTTGGTGCAATTAATTAGGAATGATAAACGCATATAAATTGTGAATAGAAATTATGTTTGTGCATTATGTTTATGCAAATTTTATTAATGAGTTAATCTATTGTTTTAATTTGATTTCTTTTTTGAAATAGATATCTATCCTTTTTGTATTGATAAATGGAAAATATTAGAGGTAAATATTTTTTATTTATTAAGAAAATAATTATATAAGTAATTTTAATGTTTTCATTCCATTATATTCATTCATTATCATTCCATTATGTTGTAAAATTATAAATATAAATTATAAATATTAATAAAATTTTTTTAGAGGTAATAATGAAAAGTATAAAATTATAGAATTGCATAAATAGAATCAAGATTTCTTCATTCCTAGGAAAAAGAAATTTGACCCTGAATCATGCATGTCAGAATTGCAATTCCTTTTAATTTATATTTATCTATAAATTCATAATCTCATCATCTTCATCTCTTATGGATTTAAAGAATAAATATAAATTTTTTTTTCCTATAACTTAAATAGATATTTTTTACATATAATCCTCTTTCTGTATGATCGTAATATTACAATTTATATTATTTGACTCGTCTAAAAATAAATTTAAATAATTTAAAAAAAAAAAGAAAAAAAAATCATAGAATCGAATTATTGCATCATTTCCTCCTTTTAACTTTCAGATTGGAAGAGAGAAAGGATTATTAATGCACTTTTAACTATTGAAAAATAAACGTGCAAAGATGTACAAATCTTCTGTTGAAAATTTAATATCAAAATGTTACATAAAAAGAAGGGAGGAAGAAGATATTTCAAGTACTTTTATGTTCTGCACTATTTTAACTTCCATGTTATTTGAACTCCCATGTGAAAATTATTGGGACGAGTTCGAAGACACTGATTACGAAAAACTAGGAAGAAGTGAAACTCGTTTGACTTTCATATTTACACCAGATTCGCGATTTTCATTTCAATAATCAAATCTGAAGTGTGTGACCTTTGATCATAAACCATAACACATGATTTCTTATGAAGAGGAGAAAGTCTTCCCTAGAAATATCAACCAGATTCTTCCTGGTGAATGTCGATTAACTTGTCGATTTTTTTTTTTTTTTTTAATTTATTTAACTTAATAATAGCTATATCCGATTAAAACCAGTAGTGATAATGGAATGTGAACTTTCAAATTTCATCATCTTCATCTCTTATGGATTTAAAGAATAAAAAAGTAGAAGATTTAATTTCTCATCTCTTCTTTGCTGCATTCTTTTCAGTGAGTTTTTAATCTTTCATGAAGATACATACTGTGATAATATGCATTATAATGTGGATTATATTTTTTGTTTTGAAAAAGATTATTTGAGATTTTTATTTTTTAGGAATTGGAAGAAATTTTAAAATTATCTTTTTTAAAAGTCTCTAAAAAATATGTAATAATTTATGATATAATTAATATTATATAGATCGTAAAATGACTTGTTTAAAGTGTTGAATTGAAAATAATCTGTTAACAAGTTTATACCTCGTTTAAACCTGTGGCAATAAAGGCTGAAAATATGGTTGAATTATCCAAGCATCCTTAATATTTTTCTGAAACAGTCGTAAAAGCGGTCGTAACTTTTATCTTTGGGAGAAAAACGAAGATGGTTTGAAAAATTATGAATTGCTCACATAAAAGATCATTATTTACCTTTATATATTTTATAATAAACAATGATTTTCTATTAATTTTATTGAAATATTTTATTGAAGTATTGCTTTATTTTTATTCTATGTATTTTTCTTGCAATTATCTTCTAATTATTTTATACCAACGTAAATTCTATTTCTCGTTCCAGAAGGAGTGCAAACTGATTCTAGTCCAAGTGGAATCGTCCATTATCCAAACAGACATCGTATATTCGCAATAAAGGTACATTCTTTTCTTAATAATTTTTTTTATAAGGATTATTACAATCGTTTATTCTTATATTTATTCGTTTGTGCTTCTATACAGGATGTTAATGTGTTCGTGGAACAGTTTTAAAAAATCGGTTGCAGAGTTTCGAACAAAAGAAAATTAATATACAAAAATATCAATATTAAAGTATATTTATTAATTTATAAGTAATTTTATATTTTATATTTTACTAATTTCAATTTGGATATTCGCATTACAATTCTGATCTTAATAGAAAATAGACATAAAAATCCATAGCAATTAAATAAAGACAAAAATAGTTATGTTAAAAGTATTAATTAATTTATAAACAATTTAAGTTTTGTAAAGATATGTGATACAGTTAAAAAAATTAGTATTCTAAAATATCAATTAAAACATATAACATTTATCAATGTTCAAGAAGCTGTGAAGGATTCTAAAATTATATATTTTAAAAATAATCTCTTACATCAGATATGTATAAATCTTATGAAGTGATAGAAAAAAATAAAATAAGAGAGATTTTATATTTTCAATATGGGAATTCACATAGAAATTCTTATGAATTGATTAAACTAAAAACTTAATTATGATATTTATGATATTTATAAAAGGTAAAACAAATATTTATTTTTCATTGTACAGTAATTTTTATAAAAAAAATCTAATTTTTTATAAATATTCACATTATTTATCACTATCAGCTTACTTTGCTATATAACTAATAACTATTCATCATCATTTATGAAAAGAAAAATATTGAAATAAATTAGTTCGCGAATAAAAACGTTCGTGTAAGAAGATAATAAGAAGCATAATCGTGAGTGAAGAAGAAGAAACACGGGATGCACTAAATTGCAATTAGTATGCTTCTCGACAACACCGTCCAGTATCACTTCCCTCATTATGCACCAACTCTTTAATTAAAATCCTGCTCGACACTGAAATCTTTTTCGACCTTCTTCTTCTTCTTCTTCTTTTTCTTCTTCAATTTCCTTCCATTTCCAAAGTAGCTTCTTGTATTTTATTTCTTTTTTTTTTCTTTCTTCCAATGTGAGAATAATTCTCCGCACGGTTGATGAGACGTGTGTGCAATATTAAAATCCAGAAATCAGGTTGCAATTGATCTTGATGATGCGTATCTAAATCGGGTTAATGATAATTTCAACATCGAACTAAAGTGATTAAAAATGAATGAAAATTGGAACGAAATCTGTATAAAAACGGTACCTTGAATTCAAAAAATATTTGTTAAAATTATTTTATTCGTTTTTGCAAAATTTTTAGTAATAATTAATTGGATCAAAATCTAATTTTTAAATATAGAATACAGAAATTTTGCAGATTTCGAAACTTTCGAATTCTAAAATACCTATCTATTATTCAAAATTGAAAAAAAGAAGAATCTAAAATGCGATAATTAATTGCCATGTTTTAATTCCGTTTTTTCTTGTGCGGAATTTCAATTATCGTATAAAAGCAATCATATTTATTTTTATATCAATGTGTGATATCAAGTAAAAATTTTGTTTAAATAAGATTAGATAAAATAAGATTCCGCTATTTTTCTATTCTGACTAGTATTTAATTTTTTCTTTTTTTTTTTTTTTAAGTTTATTTTATCAAAAAGTTAAATCTTGTTTTCTGAAATTTTTCAAATTTAATTTTATAGTCAATAGTAATGATAATCATTTATTCGATAATTTATCTGATTGAAGCATTTTGTTATTCAATACCAATATCTTAAATTTTCAACAATTCTTTCTTCAAAACAAATCCTTTGCAAGATCTTGTTGGAAATCCGCTCATACATAATTCGAATTTTGCGCCATCTATTTTCAGAGAGATCAAAACGTTTCTTCTTTTTTGAAAACAATCGTTTCGTCTTCTTTTGAAAACATTTTTTAATATTTTATTCCAACCAGCAACAATTGATTCGATTGAATCGCTAAAAATATTATTTACATCTCTGTGAAACAATTCTCGGAACTCAGTGCATAGTGAATTGTCATTGGGCGTTTAGATTCTATCTGGTATGTATGCATATATCTATATATATACGCGATGTCTATCGAATAAACAGTCGAAGAGTACATTGACCGATCAAGTGAATAGACAGATAGCTCAACTTCTCCTCAGGAAGTTTATTCCAAGTTATCATCACTTTATCTAACAAAAAAAAAATTTTCTTGGGAAGAATTTCATTCTATACATTTTGTATCAGTTTCGTATCAAAATCATTCGTGAATTTACAGGTTAGAAATATATTAGTTTATATACTAAAGATGAAATCGTGATATTCAAAAATTGAAAAAATCTTTTTATGCAATTTTTTAATGTTTAGATTTAAATCTGGATTTTATATTTTCTATAATTTTTTATATTTTTGCCAGAATTTATTGTTGGATATGTTTTTTTAGCAGGATTGTTGTGGAATGTGTTGTCGAATACTAATAATAAAATAATAAAACTTAAATGGATTGGAGATTTTATAAGTTTATAGTATATTAAATAAATATACATAAATAATAATGATATATATTATTTTTTTTTTATTAATGTTTAATACACTATTGTAAAGTTAGATATAAGTTTGACAGAAATATAAATAGAAATTAGAATTAAAAAATCAATTCGATCACATAAAAGATTTCCAATCCTAATTAAATCAAAATTTTTTCCACATTCTTTTCGTCAATTTTATATTTCAACCAAACTTTCGATATTCACTAGAAAGATCTCAAATCTAATTCGCATTAACGAGAACACGCGGGAAATCCTTAATCGGATAACGCATGGGAATAGAGACTGCCCGTGATGATCCTTCGACTGCGAGCGGATCATGGAAACGCGGCTTCAGGCTGCAATCAAGCGAAACAAGTGGAACAGATCATATGCTCGGGCAAGAAGTATCGATATGATCGATGTAGTATCGAAGATATTTATTACTTTTTTTTCTGTATTCTTGTCAGAACATCGATAATGTTAGAAAATTGTAGTCGATTTTCTTGGCTTCGATGATTTTCGAGAATGTATTTTGTTGTGAAAAAGATAATAAGTGTTTGTATTTATACATACATAAAGTGAATCGACAAAGACAATCATCTTAATATATTCGAAACCAAAAAATATTGATTTTGAATAAAAAAAAAAAATAGTTAATAATGCATTGAAATTCAAAATACAAAAGAAAAGTTGGATATGTAAAAAACTTTTTTTCATTTTTCATCTTTTCATTCTTATTTTTTGTCTTGAATGTATTAAGTTAGGTTAGATTAAGTTTCTTTAATATTATTGTTATTAATATGAATTTCGATTATAATATTTTAACAGAATTTAAATTATTTTATCAGAAAATATTTTTATATTATTAAGATTTATTTATAAATTTAATTTATTTCGAAAATTTTATCTATTCAGCATATTTCTAAATATCTATTCACGCGTTTCAAGTATACGAAAAGTTCGTTCACCTTTTAAAGAATCTGTATATCAAAGTACCGTGCAGAAGTAAGTGCTATACAATTTGTAATAGTTATTTAATGAACTGTCTTTGTACGGTCATAAACGAAAGAGCTAGTTTTTAAAACATAAATAGTGCTACACACATCCGTTTCCTTTATGACCTCCCTGAAATAATTACCAAAGCAAGTTCCTTTTAAGTGCATGTTTCTTAATTATTGCAGAAGATGGCTAAGTTTCTGAAATAAATCATCAGAATAATTATCCATTACATTATATTTCTCAAAGTATTTTTACTAAACTACAAATTCAAGTTTCGTTTCAATTAAAACAACTATAATTTAATATCGTGATATAAATTGAAAATGTAGATGAGCAAAATTGATCTTCACTCTCTAC